CATAATCACGAATCAGATCGAGGCTCCCGGACCAGGGGACATATTAAGCCTAGGCTCTGAGGCAACGGCTACTGATCTCATCTTGGGTCATGTGGACAGTGCTTCTAGTGAACATGCTCCTGGCGAAATAAGTATGTACACCATTCCTTCTCCTTCCGGAACTTAAAATTTCTGGCGCCACCCAAAGCGACTCATTTCAATGCCGGACTGCTCTCACCATATCCTCCGCATCGGCTCCACCTTCCTTCATGTTGCTCACACTCTCTAATCCAGTCAAGCCCGACTTCGACTTCAAACCTCATGCATACTCTGCAGCCTTTTCATCTTCTACAGCTACTCGATACTCTGACAAGCCCCACGGCGGGTCGCCTCTCACACAGTCTGCTAATTCTTCTCACACGATGAGCACGCCTCACCGGGGATTGCCTCCTCCCTCGGCAATGACCCTGCCAGATCCGGCGCGAGGACCTCCACCAATATCCTCCTCACTGGGCCAGTTACCTCCGGCTCCTTCTCAGTGGCAAGGTGCCGAAGATGGAATGAAGAACTGGTTGGCGACCAAAGCTGAAGAAGAGAGACGCAAGCAAGAGGAGGAGAAGACGAGGCAGGAAACTTTGCGGCTTGAGCAACGAAAGGTCGAGCAGTCAATGCTTAGAGAATCTATGCAAGGCGGAGTACCGCCTCATCTGGTACCTATAATATTCGCCGGCATTGGTGGAGGCAGCCTTGCAAACATCAGTGCCGAATGGATACAACAATACACTTCACAAGTTCAAGCTGCCCACCAACAAGCACAGGCTCAGGCGCAACCACAACTTTCTCCAGATCTCCGACGAGATCCAAGGATGATCGGACAACCACAGTCGACAGCATATGCTGGCCAAGTGCAAGCAGCACAATCGATAGTTCCCCCGACGGCAGTTCTACCTGGCCAGCCGCTGCCTACGCAAAATCAACAAGCACCACTCTCGAATCCAATTTATACTGGAGGACAGCTCTCACCACGCGCAAGAGCTGCACAAGCCGGTCTCGGTGGCCCCCCTACATCAGCACCACGATCCTTACCACAGTCACAACTACCACGGTTGACGACTAACGAAATGACTATACAACAGCCTCCTGCAACGCCAGCTGGAGTGCAACAATTACAACAGACACAGACGCAACAGCAGGACCAATCATCACCCTCAATATATTTCCACCACTGGGTTCCCCCATCCTCATCTTCACAAGAAAAGAATTCGAGTGGGAACCCGCCAGCTACGCCTTCAGGTAAATACAAAACTTCGCCTGTTCACCAGTCACGGCAACGTGCAGCGTCGCATGCGTCTGACCTAGAGTACACCAGCTCCCCCAAAAAGCGCAAGGCTCAAGGCCCACACCAACCAGCACCACACCCTACATCGGCGCCAGGGTCTAACGCATCACCTTCTTTCTCGCACAAATCGTCGTCTTCGACATCGACACCTGGTCGCCGAGGACACGCTCGAAACCGATCTGATGCATCCACGCGGGCGCCGGACGGCCCCAGCGGTTCGCTGAGTCGTAGAGGCACCATCTCCGGCCTTGCACACGAGACGATCGTGCGGCAAGGCGACATGGCAGAAGAAGCAAGAGACACAGATGGCAAAGTACACCCCAATGCAGACCAGGTGTACACAGCCCCGTCTCAACGAAATGAGCAATCAGGACACAGTCAGCCAAGCTACGCGCCAGCATCTACGGCTGTTCAACCTGAAACCCAAAAATACGGGACACAGCAACAACAACATTGGGAACGCGGATATATGCAATCACCCAAACGGGAGGCTGGAGACCATTAGATTGGGAAATGGTTTCAGCAGCATTGCCATTTGAATCCGGATTGGTTACTATGAGGAATCTTTATCGGCCCTTCGAGAAGCACACCACCCTGGTCGCAAAGCGTTCATGGGGAATACGAGAGCGAGGGATAGAACAGGAATCTGCGTCGCATTAATGATAATCACACCAGATCCACTGCAGGGATGTTTGGCGCCAGGCTTTTTTTCCTTTCTCAGTCTCCTGCCAAGTTGGTATCATTTGCTAGCGAAATGAGGTCGACTCCACAGACTCTCAGAATCCGGGTTTTCCTTTCATCTCGAAATCTTAGTGCACGGGCCCCGACCCCCACCAAGGAACGACTTATCCCAGCTGCTGTGAAATTGCGTTGCAATATCGTTCCCACGACTACCCAGATTTATCGCAATTTTACTCCAGAAAATTCCAGATGGCTGGGGGATTCGCGAATCCGAGGTAGATACCGAAGACGTGGTAGTTCGTCTGTTTCGAGCATCGCTCCGATCCCGCAGGGCGCTCTGATCTGATTTTCTTTTTGCCAATCGTATGCTGGTAATAATTGGCGTTTTATCGCAACGCATCAATACCGGTCAGGCCTTCGTATGACCCTTCAACAAGCATGCGATGCAACGGCAAGAAGCTCAATTGCCGAGCGGCGGATCTGCTGGCCATGAGACGGGTTGGGCCACGCAGCATTTCTGCACGTTCGCCTCCCCGCCTCCCGACTGTGTCCTTCTTCTCTCAAAGGGAAAGAAATATGGGCCCCCGTCAGCGGTTGCTGCGCCTCGAGTCTTGTTTTTATGCCAGCTTACGACCCCGCATATCGCAGAGAATGCGACAGTATGCTTTGTCTACTAGGAAAGGGATGAAATCAAATGTATATACGTAAGAATGGGCTGGTTTGTGTGTCAGCCCTTGTTTATCTCGTATTTTTTTAGTTGGTCTCTGTTTTCTTCTCAAGATATTCCCCCGCGTTACTCAGCTTACTACATACTACTTCATCAGTCTGGTAGGCAGTAGCTCACATGTATTCGGGATTCGACTACTACACATGGAATTTATGCGTACGGCGTTTTTCTCGGTCGCGCGTCAAATACAATTGGGTCATAGCCGTCAAACGCCGACCTTTCGCTCCCCCCTCAAAAAAGACGTCGTCATCTTTTCCTGTTTGGGCATCATCAATCTTACGATTTTATCGCGCTTCCATTGCGCTGCGGTCGGCTCCGGAGTAACATCCTTGTACTATAACATATGCCCTTCAATGTTCACTTTCTCTTCTCACATTCCTATCCCGCACCCTTGGCTGCGGCTTGTGGGGTCAAGCCCACCCTGTCTGGTGCTGCTGCTGTTGCACGTTTTGAACTGGGGCCCCCATCGGCTCTAGTGTTGGCAGGCGATTTGGACGAAACATACGATTCTAAAGCACATTTTTTGCCCTCGTATCGGGACATTTTTTGTTACATCCTGGTTCCTGGTTTCTCAGATTCACTCTTGAATGGCGGCATTTTTCTATCTCTGACACCCGTCAATGTTTCTTAGTCTTATCGGGTGCACGAATATGTTGCACTATACTGACAGGAAGGATGAAATTCAGTCGGCGCAATTTATCCGTCTACTTGTACATTACGAGCATTGTCAACTGTATGGTATGCGGAATATATCACTCATCAGCAACCTCAGCAGCCATTTTCTCTGTTTCTTTTCATATAACTATTGCTATTGGGGCAGTTCGCATCGAGGCAATGATAACGGCAATGGCGACATGTGGTCAAAGCAAGTTGATCTCATTCTTATGCCATATTCATCGTTGTGCAAGCAGCCTTGTCAAACCCTCCCTGTCTCGAGCAACCTTTATTTCTCCCTTTTTTTATTCCTGCCTCGCTATAATTCAGATTGTTCACATATACCCCTCTAGACCCTTGTTCGAGTCTATTCTTCCTAGATAGGCTAGCATCTACATGTCAACCCTTTTCTGTTCGCTTTTATTTTATTCTTTTTCCGGTTTAACGTTAAGGGGTATACCGGCTTGCCCCCTTCGCTATATCCATCTCTCTTTCTCTTTCTCTTCCGGATCTTTTTTTTTATTTTTTGGCACTTGACCTAGTTTGTTGTTGGGCCATGCACAAAATATATGTGGGGCTGTTAACTCGGAGGTTTTTCTGCTTTGGTTCCCTGACAGTTGTGCATATGCTTGATTACTTCTTTTTTTGACATCCTTTATTCTCTTTTTATGCCTAATGCTTTTTCTTTTTCTTCTTCTCCCTGTTTGCTTGCATGTCACGGATTAGTGGGCAAGGGAGAGAGGGAGGAAGGGAGGACTAAGTTTGAGCATTTTAGTGCAAGGGAGAGAGTAGGCAGCTTGATTGGGTGACAGGCAGACAGCTTGGCTGCATGTGGCGACACTGGATTGATAGACACCTTCCAATGGTATAAACCCTTTCGACTCGGATGGATTCGCATCCGAGCCATTTTCATGACTACTATGTGTTACGATGAACATGCCCTGTTGACCGGAGAAAGAAGAAACTGAAAATCAGCAGATGTGAGAGAGATCAGCGCTTTAGCTTGCAACTTGGGTACCAAGGGTTGCCAAAGTTTGGTACGAGTCCCTCTCCCCCCCTTCCCCCCGCCCTAAACACGTGTCGTGGCGACGGCTATTGCCTTGATCTCGCAGCATCGTTATCGTCCTTTACTTCGTTTTTCTCCTTCTTCCCCTCTCTTTTTTTCCTAATGGAGTCACGGTCGTCACCATTTGGAAACCGACTACCGCTTTCTTAGCTTTTTTTTCTTTTTGCTCGTACGATGCTTTTAATCTCCAATCGAAAGCCTCGTATACGTATACGTATACTAACCCGCCCGTCCCCGCTGTCTGTCCCCCTTCTTCACCGGTAATAAATAAAGTGATAGATATATGGCGTTGACATAACCGAGACACGTCTGTATGTATTACCAGGGTATATTTCTCTATCTCGGCATCATAACTGTGATGCGGTGAAGGAGCGATTGGTACATTGACAGTTTTGAACCTAGCAAGTGTGTGTTCAAGCGTGTATAATGTGGGCTTGGCAGTGCATGTTGCTGCATTGATTGGGTGCATGGGGAAGCGGTGAATATGGAAATAGTAATCACTGTTCTTTACTTTTCTTTGTACTCTTTTTGCTTTTCCCGGTGCTCAGGTGGACTAGGGTATGAAGGGAGGGGGCGGTGAGGGGTTCATGTGTAGCGAGATGGTGGAGAAGTGTGCTTGCGTCTACCTGCGTCTGCGTCTACCCTTTGCCAAGGGTAGGGAGACAGGGACTAGGTGCGCTTTTACGGTGTTCGATATGCGATCGTGAGAGATGAGTGGATCTGGTAGTTGCGCTGTGCAGAGCTGAAACGTAAGGGAGTGGGGGATAGCTGACTGGATTGGTATAGTAAGGGGGGCTAATATATGGAAGGAACACTTGGAGTTGTTGGTGTCGTTGAACTACAGGGTTGGAGTGGAGTAGCTGGTCTGGAATATAGGCTTCCGTTGTTTGCTTTTTTCTATCTTGCATATGGGCGGCAACATCTCTTGGTAGGGAGGCCAAGGGAAGGATTTGAATGATCATCAGGCAGGAAGGGATATTGGGTAATCACTATTATCAGAATAGACATTTTGGGTAAGCTGAAAGAAGGGTTAGAGAAAGTCATGCGAATTTGATAGTTGTTGGTTATGGATCAAGTTCTATGAGAACATACATGGTTTACGAAACTTGAAGTGAATAACTGGCAAATTACACATTGATAATGTCTGTCTATATGCCTGTATCCATGCTGGAGATCTGTATACACGCTACACATTGTGTCCCTGCATCACACATGTTGCCGTACCCCTCTGCGTTGGGTTAGTCGCCATCACCAGCCACATCTCTGCCCCGCCTCGTGGCGCACTCGACCCCACCATCGGTGGTCCGTGATGCGGTAGGTGCAGCCTGACAGTTTGGCGTCACCGCAAACAACACTCACTTACGCTGCTGCCTGTAGCATCTACATTTCTCACTCTCACCCCGACTGCGAAACTCATCTTGTATTCCGGAACTTTAGAACGCGAACCATCCAAAGCGCAAAGACTAGCAAACGTGCTGCACATATAGACATCAACGTCATTGAAGCGCGCGGCAACGACAGACAGACAAGATGCAGATCAAGTATGTTATGGGCCCAGCGGAGAAAAAAATGAAACACGAGCAGGAATAAGCAGGACTGACAGGAGCGATAGAGTACGAACACTTACCGGCAAGGAGATTGAGCTCGACATCGAGGCGGACTACAAGGTACGCAACCCGCCGACCGACCTGCGCCGCCGCGAAACAATACCTATGTTGAAATGCTGGCACGAAAAGGTTCATAACAGGTTGTAAAGGAAAAGGAACTGACGGAACGCATAGGTCTCGAGGATAAAGGAGCGCGTGGAAGAGAAGGAGGGTATTCCACCTGCCCAACAGCGTCTGATCTATGGCGGAAAGCAGATGTATGTCTCAGCACTTCTTTTCCAGTCAAGCTGCTGTCTATTTTCTCGTTGGTAATCATGGTTCGGATAGATGAAGCTAATTCAACATCTCAGGAGCGACGACAAGACAGCAGCAGACTACCAGCTCGAGGGTGGTGCGACATTGCACTTGGTGCTTGCGCTTCGTGGCGGATACTAAACATTTCCTGGGTCACCGATCCTGTATCTGCGTTTCTGGTCTGCCTGCTTCATTCATACTGCCCAAGGAGATGCTAAGAGGTTACTTTGGAATTGATATGGCATGTTTGCTCTGTGTCACGGATATCGTCGGACAGATTCCTGATGTGCATGGACGAGATGTTCAATGAGCAGCCTCTGGCAGAGGGCTTCAGTCATGCACGAGTAGGCGGTGTCGGTAATGAGCGAGATGTGGAATATCTGCTTGGCAGTGGCTAGGAAAGCAAGCGAATGCAGAGGCTGGTATGATGATAAGAATGACTTCTTTTTTTGCATTGGTGAAGAGAATAGAAAACTGATTGAACTGGGCATTTTGGGTGTTTTTGACATCTTGTTTCTTTGTTTTGAAGTGACATTGACTCCATTCATGAACCGAATATTCAAATGGCGAGAAGTGGAAATGTTGAGTTTGTCCTGTGTATGTATTCTTCTGATGGTTTATATCCAATTCGCATCTAAGGTCACTCCCTTGGTCCTGAGACGCACGGTGTAATGAGACAGTTTTATAAAAAAGGCATCTCAAATCCATACTCTTTTAGAGTACAGAATGATCTTCAGTATATAATGATTCTAATGTTTCTTAGCTCTAGAATCCTACCTTTTTCCTAAAGTTCCTCTTCGTGACTGCCGTACAAGTCAACGATTGGTCAACACCGTCAATTGCTCTCTTGACTGATACACCCTGTTTTCTCGCGCCAAGTAACATTCTCCGCGGGTTCGGATATCAGAGGAGGAAGCGATGCTATAGTTATAATTTTTCCGATTATTGAAATCTAAAAAATTGTATAACGATCCAACCCTAGAGTTTTGTCGACGGCGGATTGATCCTTTTGACATCTTAGCAGTTCCATATGTGGATTAGCGCGTCGCAGATCTGCTTATAGAGACGTTGTGTTAAATGGTATTCTTTGTTCACTTCAAGCCACCCTTCTGGAGTTGACTGTGGCGCATTGTTCCTTCTTTAGAAAATGCAGTCACATGCTCTATTTCTTTGTTCTTCGGCGCCGTCTCTTGCTGTGCCTCAAAGCCGCCCACTCCTCCCCCACCCCCTTCTCTACCATTACACTAACTTATACACTCGCTTGCACAATCGGCTTCTGGTCCTGACATAGCACGCAGTTTCGACGATGCAAGGGCCCCTGTCACGCGAAGTTAACGCTTTACTATAAGGCTTAGCGCATACACAGCTATTTTATCCAAGCTCAGCTTTGCAAAAGCACCCTAAGCCTCAACCACAAAGAAATCTCTCCAATCTTTAGAGTGTTGCACATGACATCAATTATTCTTACTGTCCTACTCCTTTAAAAGAACCTGAAGCATTGCCAAATGTGCGCAATAACGCCTATAGGATAACTGAAATCTCGATTAATTTGCTCAGACATGTTCGGCTGATATTGAAGCCCTACTGCTAATCTGGGCTATTATCGAATCCAACGCGTACAAAGCAATAGGCGCAATGTACATGCGCATGAAGGGGGTTTTGATTGACTGATAATGGTGCTTGTGGAGATCAACTAATTATTACACTTTGTATTACTTAGCTCAATAGCAACGTGCTCGGCAAATCTATCACTTGATTACATAAAGTATCCAGTACAGCCAACAACAACAAAAACTAACTACTTCGATGTTCATAATGCGCCTTTGTCTCGCAGCAGCATCACAATGTCTTTGTGTTCTCCAGCTGAAGCCGCCTGGAGTGCGTTGCCGTAGTATCCACCTTGGGCGTTGACGTCGGCGCCCTTGTCTAGCAGCAGCATGGCCATCTCTTTGTGTCCTCTAGCTGAAGCCGCCTGGAGTGCGTTGCCGTAGCGTCCACCTTGGGCGTTGACGTCGGCGCCCTTGTCTAGCAGCAGCATCACAATGTCTTTGTGTTCTCCAGCTGAAGCCGCCTGGAGTGCGTTGCCGAAGAGTCCACCTTGGGCGTTGACGTCGGCGCCCTTGTCTAGCAGCAGCATGGCCATCTCTTTATCGCCTCTTTCTGAAGCCGCCCGGAGTGCGTTGCCGTAGTATTCACCCTGGGCGTTAACATCGGCGCCTTCGTCAAGCACCATTTTGACTGTCTGCTCCTGGCCTTCAGCTGAAGCTAAAAGCAGCGGGTTGAAGTAGAGTTCGTCCTCTTCATCGTTGGCGCTTGCATTGGAGATCTGGTCTTCGCGGCGACTGTAGGAAGTTGCGGCGTTGCCTTTATACCGGTTGCGAGGCCAGTCAGTCAAGCCGTGGGCTCGATAGAAACGACGAGACCCACTTGCTTCCTTGCCGCCTTTCGACGGCGAAGGTGTAGTTCGCTTTCTGAATTCTTTCGATTTTGTTTCTAACGAGGAGGGTTGGAATGGTTCAAAGATGCTATCATTAGTCGCAAACGACTCTTCAAAGATCTGCTGTGAAGACGGATGCTCCGAAAAAGGTCCAGAAAGGCTAGCTTCTGTGACGCTAATTGTTTCAACGCCTGTTGATTCACCAATAACTCTATGCATCTGAGTTTCATCGGCGTTGCTGGCATTGATGTGTAGACGAGATGAAAAATCGAGTTTACGAAAATCCTCCACAACCTTATCTGCTGCTAGGATCAATGCGACCCCTGTGACTCGATTCCCACCCAAAATATGCCCAAAGGTGAGTCCTGTAGCAGGACAAATAACAACAGCGCCAGAATCTCCATTCGACCAGGATCCCTCTTCCAGACGAGCTTTATGAACTTCTTCGAAGGAACTACTATTCGGTAGTTTCATGTAGGTTGTTGTTTCCGAAAGTACGACTTTAAGCATCCCACTTGAGGCTGTCCAAGTGTAAGCCTTGCTTTCGATGCTGGACGGTCTCCCGGCCTTGGCAAAGTCGCGAATGGTTTCCTTATTTTCTGCCAAACTATGACTCATTTGAGATTCCAATTCTTCGCTAGAGACTTCAATGAGAGCCCAATCTCTGTCCACAGACCAAACGAGTAGCTGGCCAACGACAGTGAGAGTTTGGATCGAGGGGACGGCTGGCGAATCGGAGTGAACAACACCTAGTTCTGTGCGCTTCTTCCCATAATTGCCCGGATGAAACGCATGATAAACCGTTTGTAGGAAGATCCGATTGTCTAATTGTATAATATTGCCAGTTGCTGGGCGTAGGTTTCCATCATGATTGATGTATATGGCTAGGCCTCTAATCGGAAGTGACTTGGATGGTTCAGTGTAGAGGTTATAATTGAAATAAACGTCCATGGCTAGGCCAAGGCTGTTTCCTTCATCACGCCAGTTTATGGATCCATTAGAAGACCAGAATTCAAAGCCGTCCAAGACTGAGGGCTCATTGGAAATATTGGAGAGGCTTGGGAACGCGGGTGTGTGATCCACGCGCCAGTTGGTATATGGGGCTAGAATATTACTCTTGATGAGTGCTGTCTTGGCGCCTTCCCGGGTCTTAGAGTCTCCTCCGATGAGTAGTACTGTAGGGTTTGCTTCTTTCTGTGATGTACCGATCATGTATGCATCGATGGTGACAAGCTCCCCTTTTGGGTTGTAGTCAAAAAATTGCTGCAATACAGGATCGATTTCGGGGAAAATACAGTCCTTGTACTGGTTTCGAAGCTCTCCGTTAAGGTTCCAGTACGTTCTAGGTGGATCAAGCCGTGGTAACGCAGAGAATAAAGACGATGTTATGTGTTGTGGATGACGATCCATCCTGTTGAGTGTAGAAGTCTGATTCGGGTAGTGTGCGCTCAGTCGGGGGATGCACTTGTCGTTCAGGGTGCTAAACACTCGTTCAGCCATGACAAAGGTACGTCGACCCAACAAGTATGTAACTACTGAGCGTGTACAATACGAGAAATTATCTATAAACACCAAAGTTCATGGTTTTGACAGAGCGTGTCTGGGAAAAGGTTACCGCTAAGAGGCTAGTGATAATTGCTTAGAATAATGATACAATTGTCGACCGGTGTAGGAAGAGGTATAGAGTAAGCCTCTGTACTAGCAATCGATCGTTGTCACAACTATATCCCGCACCTGCAAAATGCATCTAGAGACAATAAGCACACATGATCCGCATGTTCAGCCAATCGAGTGACATTTTCTTTCGCAGACGCGTTCAGCTGCCCAGGGATGCAATGTGACTGGCGTAACTGTTGACCAATCGCATAAGACTCTTGGCTACCACGTCATGTACTTGACCCATAATTTTCGAGCCACCTGCACTGCCTCAACGCCACTTGTTGATTCTCAAGGCTCCAGACGATACACACTTTCAGGGAGTTTTTATAGCAAGAGCGGAGCTTTGACTGCCATCTGATGCGCGTAGCCTTTTTCCACATTTATAATTACAAATGGCTGCTTTGCAAGAACGACTCGCAGACCTAACTCAACTCAAACACGAGACTAAATTAGTCATAATCGACTCGTTGTGGCCTAGATATCCGCCTGTACGGCTCCATGATGCTGAACACCACGATTGGAGCCCATACTTCAACTACTACATCAATCAATGCCATCATTCTCTGCAGGGTCAGCCTGTTGCGACGCGCACGCACGAAGATATAGTAAAGGTCTCTTATCTTCTGCGGAAAAATGCCTCACGCGAAGACATTGAAGAGAAACTCAGAAGTGCACTCAAAACGGTCGATGCTGGAAGAAAAGAAGCTAGTGTTACGAACGGAGGAGAGAGACTGGAGGAGAAGGTACACAACACTATCAATCTCGTGGCACGACTATGCTTCATGGTTAATGTTGGAGTCTCAGAGGCAACATTCACACCGGGACGCACAAAGCTACAATGGATTGACGGCAGCCTACGTTCATTTTTGTCTAGTCAATTCGAACCTAGTACGTCGTTGAAAGACGTCACTGTCAGGTTCGAGAAGGCATTTACAGCACGGAACATCGAGCGCATCGCCGGCATTACCATACACTGGACTGACAACCTAGCTGATCACCTACGTATGCTGGATGCTGACGACAAAACTGTCGCAATATTTCATCACGCTTCGTTCCTGAAACACCAAGCCGCACTGGTCTTTCCACCTTTCTTCCCATCCCTCTATCCTACTGATCTCATTGAGGAAACGCTACGAACATTGGCTCTGCTTTTTCCCCAACATAACAGGGAAGTAAGAATGTGGTTGCAATCGCGGTCAGGATCCAGTAGTCACGGAATTGACCGACAACTGCTCAAGTGTGGTTACCTTCGCTTAGAAGAAAGACAACAGAACAACTTCCACTTCTGGCACGATAGACTTGTCATACTCAAGCAGGCCTACGACGAATCGAGGCCAGCGACGCTGTCACAGTGGTGGCTTGATCGAAGAAACACTGTGCAGTGGTATACCTTCTGGGTGGCTATTGTTGTGCTATTCCTCACAATTTTCTTTGGTCTTGTGCAGAGTATTGAGGGTGCACTACAGGTCTACAAGGCGTACAACCCAACTACCTAAACTGGAGTTCATGTGTATTTATGTAAGCAGCTAGCACGAGAGTGGGTACAATAGTGGGTACAATAGTGGATTTGATCGTTACTTGTGAGAAGTGTAATAGGATATAATTTCTTTTGATCTGGCGTCTGCCCAAAGTGAGTAGGCATAAATCGTTTGTGGAAGGCGTAGTGCCTTCGTACATCCTTCCCAGGCTGATTAGGCTAACGCTTCTGGCGGAGCCGCCGAGTTAGCTGAGCGCAGTCACTGTCTTTGTCGCCTTCTGCTTTATCTCTTCTGTGTCCCCTCTAGTGCAGCTTGGGGTCCATGGTCAGCCCGAGGTACTTGCGAGTCGCTGTTGGTTCTATCCAGCCCTATAGGATCCGGATCAAACTTTTGATATCAATTTGCCTGTGCCGTCGATAGTTGTGCTCGTGTATATGTTACTGAGGAGGCTTGCGATCCACTTGACTATCTTCTCATCCACTCGCCTTTTATGCAGGTTATCGAGCAGGCGAACATGCGAGATGTCATCGAAGGCACCAGAAACGTCGAACACCAAGATATTGGCCACCAGGCCAACTCTGCGATTCTATTCTTTGTATATTTTCTTGGTAACGGCGTGGAGAGCGACTCGCGGAAATGGGCTAGACAGTATCCAAGACGTAGGCTTCGGTTGTGGATCCTTGTCGGGTGAGTTGTAAGCTGAGCGGTTTCTGCTTGCAGGACTCTGTCAATATTGTCATCTAGGCCGCGTGCTTTAGATGGAGATGCTGCGCGTATGTCGTCTCTGATCTCCTTTTCCGTTGTTGGCGGCGTGTGTGCCTGATCGTTGTATAACGCGTCGAGAACATCGCGTAGGTCGGCCTCAGGAGGAGTTGGAGAGGTGTCTCGGAATAGATTTGCCTTCTTCACTCCTGCCGCGTTCATTTTGAGTTGGCACGAGAAGGGACACGAGACGAGAACAAGTCAGTGCACGCAGTCGTACCATTAGATGCTTGTAGAAAGCCGTTTGCATACTACTGATTGGATGGTTGATTGGTTGATTCCTACTCGGTTTCAGCCGCATAGCCCGCAGCTATGACCGGTTGACAGGCGAGGCAGACAGCCGACGCAGTGCGGACATTGATTCGTGCCGCTCCACTTCACTCTCGAAAGAGCCATCTGTTTCCAAACGCCTGCTGTATCTGGTTTCTATCTACGACTATGTACATTTCGCCTCTAGAAGTGGCGTGTTTGCCTGTATTTGCGTTCCTCCAATTGTCTTTCTGTGGGTATGCCGTACTCGACGCCTCATGTGTGTAACGTTGTTTCAAGGCTCGCAGACGCACGGTTGCCTCGTGCTTTGCGACCGCAATACCTTCAGTCCCCTAGCGTTCGGCTGTCGTATGTGCTAGCATGCCCTCGCGCCCCCTAGGGCCTAGATTATGTTCCCTAATCTCTGATATTCTACAATGTGTGGTGTCATCCACTAGGTTCCTATGCGGCTGTATTATGTGGTGTGGCCTGTCACCAAGCGCTGCGGCAGCAGCATTTCGTCGTAACGCGGCCCACAAGAGCGATGCTCTGCTCGTGCGTGCCGTCGAGCCTACTGAGTATGAGATCTCCGGGGCGAATCGCCTCAGACCTTGTCGAGTGTGTTGAAGGGGCACCACTCCTTGGACACTGGGCGGGACGACAGTGGACGAGGCTGTCTGATGATCTGTAAGTGTGTTGTGGCACCGATGGTAGCATGCAGGGCGTCTGTGAGGTGATTCGCGTGGGAGGCGATACCGTTCAGCCCAAGGGCGCGTCAATGCGGAACATTGCAGACGTTGTCTAGTAGTGATGGGCTTCCTAGTCAGCCCATCAGTGACTGTATTGTGTACGTTGTGACCGTCATTCTCAAATGGGTGCCTGGGCTCCGTCGTCACGTCTTGCACTCCTGTGTCGTGGCTAAATGGCTGCTGCAGCATTTGGTAGACGTGTCATGTTAAGTAGCTCGCTCACATATTTTGCTTGTCTGTGTCTACCAGGGCCGTAACAGCGATTCTACAGGTACCAAATCGACATAGGGGGACGCGTGATGGTCTTAGAGACTATTGCGGCCACTGGCAGATGTTCTTGTAGATGTTCTTATTGTGATGGTCAATTTCAAATATTCATTTCTCGCTGTTTGTCATGCTTTTGGAAGTCACAGCCTGCTCTGATAATGCAAGTGAGAGATTTGCTAAGCTGCAGGGCCATGGGCAAGCAATCAATGGATGAGCCGATCCCGCCCCGCTGCCAACTAGCGCTTACGGCTGTGCTCCGAAAGAACCAGTTGTACCACTCATTGTTCACCATGCCGACATGTAGGCGGAAGGCTGCAGCGTTGGCCACAAGGCTGAGGGTGAGCGAGATCACGAAGTAGCCCAGAGTAGTAGTACGTCTTCAATACGAACCTAATGTAGCTGAGCAAATTATCACAGATTTTGATTATTTTACAAACAATGCCATGCACCTTTTTCAATACCCCAAAGGCCCTTTGAAGGAGTAGGACGGTAGGAGGAATGGTTGATGTCACGTGCAATACTCTAAAGATTGGAGAAGTTCCTTTGTGGCTGAGGCTTAGCTATTAGGGCGCTTTTGAAAAGCCGGGCTTGAATGAGATAGCTGTGCATACGCTAATCTTTCTCAGGTAAAACGCTTGCTTGGCGCAACAGGGGCACATGCAACGTCGAAACTGCGTGCTGTATCACAACCGGAAGCTGATTGTGCAAGCGAGTGTAGTAAACCAATATAGATAAAGGCGGTCGAGAATTAGTGCAAGGAGTTCCTCCTGGTGTTGCGGAATCATATAGAGCCCTGGCAGATCACAGTGGAGTCCCTGCCGCCACCCTCAACCGGCGTGCGAGGGGTGAGTGCTCGATCGAGCAGAAGGCTAAACGTCAATAATACCTTTTAGACTAAGAAAAAGATACCTTCATTAATTTTAGCTTGTAGTTATCTAATCTTGGATAACCCGTTCGAATTAAGTTCATACCCTTACTAGCCTTCTGCCTTGCCCGCAACCGACTAGAGCCAAACAGACCCTTAAAGCCTTTAGGTAAAAACTAGCTAAGGGGTTTTCATAAACGTTACCCTAATATTAAAGCGGGAGGAGTATAGGTACTAGACTAGAATCATCATAAGAAGCACATATACCCGGTAGACAACTAGCAGACCAGAAACTCACGCTAAACATTGCAATTGCAACCGCGAATCTGTAAGTCGTATCTGTATCTTGACCACTTCTGCGACCTTCACTGATACTGCTAGGATTAACACGGGAAACGTCAGTGCTACCACAGCGCGCGCGGCGGACGAAATCCAGGAGCTGAAAAAGGGCCTTACTGAGCTACTTCTTCGCATGGAGCGTATAAGAAACCGTTATACAAAGCAGAGTATTGTGGTTTCCAATTATCGCTCTACAATCAAGCGTCTTGCTGGGGACACGGCTTCGCTCTCATCTATACCGTCACTTAAATCTCCAGACTCTCCTGACATGGCTGTCAGCGCTATAGTACCGACGGAGGCATCCACGGTCTTCTATTCAATTAGCACAACAGCTTCTATCGTAGAGACGCTGACGAGTGACGAGAATTCGGCCTTCATTACAGCACCTTCTCTTCGGAGTTCAAGCACGTACGTCAGTGTATTAGCGAGCATTTATGTCAACAGACATACTGTAGTGGATGGCAACGGACAATTACAACCTAGCAGAGACTCTCAGAGCTGTGGAGCTGTGATCAGCGAATCTACGTTAGTGAAGCAAGATCGGGCTGGTGGAATGGCCCACCTACCTACCCATGAGCAACCTTATTTTGGAACCTTTCAAACCTTCGTTAAAGATCTCTCACCTAGTACCCAAGCGATCCAGCTGGAAGCACAAGCATCGTACTTGGACCTCTTGTGGTTACTAGAGGATCAAGTCGGCATACCACCGCACAGAATCAGTCTGTACTACAACGGCTGCCGCCTTTCAGATACGATTAACCTTCCAAACAATGACACACTCCAAGGTTCAGTCAACGCTTACATGTTAGACATGTAGGATGGCACATATCCCGAGGAGTCTTACGAGTTAGACAAGCCTTACATGCTTAGAAGAGGGAAGCTTCGGAAGAGATCACTCATATCGGGTGCATTTCCACCCCGGAACCTCCGGGAGTTGAGATATAACTACGCGCAATTACACGGGCCAGTAAGTTTAACATCAATGGATACCCGGTCGTCGAGGTCATATTATAGGGAGGAAGTGCCAACTCAACAGCGATATGCAGGATATCTTAAGTGGCTCTTCCAGACGAAATCTTAGAGGCGGGGGGGGGGGGACATCAACGACAGCACTCCTTCCCTTTTCGTAGAGACGAGTAATTTGACTTTCATTTTCGCATATCTACAAGGTAAGGGATATTATCAATATCAAAAGCTGGCTAGCACCTCAAAACGCTCATGATGAGTGCGAATTTGGGCCGTAACTATTTATTGAAGTCGTGCGGTATGCATTTTGCTGAGAGGGTTGAAGGCCGAAGCTAGCCGTCGCTGATCATACGCGGGTCGTCGACGTTGAAGTTCTTAGCCTTGCCGCTGTTTTCAAACAGGGGTGAACGTCCATGGTCGTAGGTGGTATGGATTGTAAAGAACTCTAGATAAATGTTTCTGTTGACGATAACCGGCATATACCCGGGACGAATGTGAATGATGTTGCTTCTAGTGCCTTCAGGAATGATGTTCCCAGAGGTTTTAGGGCACCTCCCCCCCCCCCCTTTCCCCTTTCAAAAACTGCAGCCACAAGCCTACCACGACATATCCGTCAGATATGATTGTTTTGGGTGTAGATGGCGTAGTTAAAAAAAAATCTTAGATTGACCGTGTAGTTCGCTAATAACATTTGTTGTTCCCCGCACTCGTCTTAGTGGGAATTAGTCGTTATGTTTAACCTAGCTAGGAGTGAGCACTGCGCAGCCAGCAAGGACTTTGTGGGTGCCGTGATGTTTGCGCCACGAGGTCTGCACTATGATCTCACGTATCCATCCTCTCCCCTTTGTTCCTCAAGGCTCCTTTGGCAACCGGTGCCGGGCTCCCGGTTGCGCTTCCTATATCAGGTGATAAGTGACCTAGCCACAGGCTGTTAGCTTCATCAGCTAACGAGATGATATCACTTGACTTTTTTTATATATCTCTGTTTGTTACATAGCGTATTAGATCAATCATCTTAGAAAATAATGGTAAGCCACACCCCAACCTGCCGGAATCGGGTATTTAAAAACGTAGTGTGTCAGTTAAGACTCACGCTTTCTTTATTTCTCAGCCACGAGGTTTGTTCTTATTCGAACAAATCTACCCATCTGTGTTTGATTTCCTCTCCCTTTACAGAACTTCCGACGCAAAAAAACCCCCCTCGATGATGTCAACACCACCAATCCATTAAAATCTCACATATCGCCTTGTTTTCTTCTTCTTGTTTGTACTCCTTTTACTACTGAATTTGCATCGCTACGCAAAAAGGGTGAAGTTGTCAAACCACTATCTTATTCCTCTGACTTTATCATTCTGCCAATTTTCTTTCCTTACAATCATAATTTTCATTCCAACTTTACTTAAATTCCAATTCTAAACTACTATGTTTCTTCCCCTCTTTTCTCTACTTTTAACGTGCTACGTTCCAGAGTTCCAAATCGCGTAGAGCATCAGGTAAATATAGTTAGGCACAAAGCTTCCTAGACTTTATTCGAGGGTAACCGGGTAACCTCACACGACTACATTGTAGGTATATAAGTTGGGGTTTCTTCTTGGCGCAAGCAGTCTACTACCTTGAGTTTATTCAATACCAGCAAATCTTCTTTTTAGTTATTGGCTCGCTTGATGTGCGTTGCACCTCGTTCTTTCGACAGTAACAAAGTATCCTGGAGTATACAGAGGAGGAAGTATATGTACCCCAGGTTCATGTAGGAGCGACTCCGGTGTGTGCAGAGTGTTATAGTGTAGTTGGAGGAGGGGATAGAGAGTATGTAACAGTATAGATATTATTGGTCCTATTTTTTAGTCTCGGGAAGTAGTGGGTTCACGTGTTCAACTTCTATATTTTCAGATTTTAGATGTGCAGGTACTAGGTTAGCCTTACTCTTCCAACTTGTATGGGTATCGCTTGTGGGGTTGGGCCATTTCATGTGCAAAAGAGCGTGGGGATGTATCCGGGGTGTGAATGTCATTTTAGCGGGGATCTCACCTCCAATCAGGTGGCTGGATCGTGGCTGAATTGGGTTTGAGGGTAAAAGCCAGGGGTCATGTGGGCACATGACTGAGGATGAGCGTGCGTGGGGGTGATGATGTAGTAGATTGTGAGGCTAACCAACCCTAATATTTGGAAAGTCGTGGGGGTAGGGGCAGGTGTAGGGGGGGG